TTCCATGAGAGTTAAAGCCCCTCATGGAAATTTTTCTCACCTCCACAATGACCTATTCACACACTTACCAAAATTAAAAATTAAAAAAAATCCAAGCCAAGCCCAATGGCTCATGTCTGTAATCCTAGCACTTTGGGAGGCCAACACAGGCAGATTGTTTGAGCTCAGGAGCTCGACACTAGCCTGGTTAACATGGCAAAATCCCATCTCTACAAAAAACAAAAAAAAAAAAACAAAAGTTAGCCAGGCATGGTGGTGTGTACCTGTGGTCCCAGCTACTCAGGAGGCTGAGGTGGGAGGATCACTTGAGCCCAGAAGGCATAGGATGCAGTGAGTGGAGATCACATCACTGCACTCCAGCCTGGGTGACAGAGTGAGACCCTATCTCAACAAATAAATAAATAATCCAAATCCATAAATACTTAAGGAAAACTTCTGTGTGTTCATGAGACAAGCTCTAGAAACAAACGAGGTCAAATGTTATTCCCGAATAGTTGGGCATGGTGGTCCTGCAGTGAAGTGATCCTAGAAATAATTATCAACATGGGAACCTATGTGGCTTCACATTTTTTGGAAAACTACTCTATGAAATAATCCACATTTAGGAATTAAAAACAGAAGTAAACTTTCTTTTATTTATTCAGGTGGCCTAAACTTCGCTCATGTCTTACAATCATCAGAATAAATTGCAACTACTATACAAAACTTTGAAAGCAAATTTGGATTGACGGTGTCTTTTGGATCATGCACACAACTGGCTTCCCAGCTCTGCTTTGTGGTCTCCTGAGAGTATGCTTTCACCCTGGCTCCTTGGAATAAGGAGTCCTTCCCATGACTGGCCTTACTGTGTAAGTATAATTCTTTATGCCGTTTGAGGACACAGGTATCCTTTATTGAAACCCAACTTAGCTCCTTTCCCAAAGAACTGGGAGTTTTGTTCAAACTTTGACAACTCCATCTATGTGGCTATGTAATTGAATACAAAAGGCTTTACACAATTAATAAAGCACTGACAGGATAAATGCAAACAACTCCAAAGAGAACAAGAAGGCACTCAATGAAAAGGAAGTTTATGACTGTTCTATGGTGCCTCAAACCAAACAGAACAAAATCTAAGCTTATTATGTTCTTCCCAAACCTGTCTCCATCTGTTATATTTTTCAGCTGCCCAATACAGAAATGTAGGCATCATTCCATCAGATCAGTTACTGTCTGTCAGTTACCACCTGAATATTCTTCATATAAAATCCCTCCCTGCCTCCAATGTCACTGTCCTAGTTCACATGGGACATGAAGCTTGTGTTCTTACTGGTCTCCTAACCTCTAGCTTACCTCTCTCCACTTTCTTTTCCACACTCATCTTTCATGGGAAAATCTCACCTCATCTCATATCTGCTACTCTCCTATGCAAATTTCTCAAAGGTCAGTATAAAATTGGAGCCCATTTACGTATGCATGTATGTATTTATGAGATGGAGTCTCACTCTGTCGCCCAGGCTGGAATGCAATGGTGCAATTACTTTTGAGATGGAGTCTCACTCTCTTGCCCAGGCTGGAGTGCAGTGGTGTGATCTCAGCTCACTAAAACCTCTGCCTACCTGAGTTCAAATGATTCTCCTATCTCAGCCTCTCGAGTAGAGTAGCTTGGATCACAGGCGTGCGCCACCACACTTAGCTAATTTTTGTATTTTTAGTAGAGACAAGGTTTCACCGTGTTGACCAAGCTGTTCCTGAACTCCTGACCTCAGCTGACCTGCCAGCCTCAGCTTCCCAAAGTGCTAGGACTAGAAGCGTGAGCCAATGCACCCAGGAGAGGCTTGTTTATTCAGCCCAGAGGGCTTTCATTAGCACTTCTGACTCCCTGTCATTATTATAAACTGTTGTTTGTTTATAGTTGGCTTCCCCAACTGTAATGGAAACTCCATCAGGGATAGATGGTTGGTAGCTAAAACAATGCCTGGTACACGGTGGGGAACTTGGTAAATCCTCATTCCCTGAACAGCAGACATCCAGGATTCCATGTCCAGCCTGACTTCTGACCTTAAAGCTGCCTGCCTCACACTTTAAACTCAACAGTGCCAAAAAACCGACAATTCCCAGGCCCCAGGCCGGCAGTGCTGTCAGCGTTTAAATATGCCATTCTCTCAACCTGAGATGCCTTCCTTCCTTCGACTTGTAAGTCTGAGAAACTCTCAAGCATCGAGTCAGGGCTCCGGTGCTACCTGCTGTGTACCTGCTCCTGAAAATGTCACGTGTAGACTAAGGTGCTCCCCGTCTTGCTCCTCCTCCTGCCGGTCCACAATCACCAGCACATCAGTGACCTCCCTGGTCTGTTCCTGTTTCTAGCCAGCCTTGCCCCCATAGGTAAGGTCAGGGACCATGATTTTCACCTTGGCTCCCAGTTACTAGCAAGATTCCTGACATAGAATAGTCACTTACATAGTCACGGAATCAATGAAAAAGTAAACATGACAATTATCGTGATAACAACAGCTAACACTAGGTACTGCTCAGTATGTCCCAAGCACTGTTCCTAGTGATTGAGAGTTTATATATATAGATTATATATACATATTTCATTTAATAAATGAACAAATTAACAGTAAGAATATATATCTATATCTAGTTTTAGCTTCTTTCTCACATACAAAGTAAAGATCAGGATAGAATAGTCTGTAAAACCAAGATATAAATGGAGAATCTTTTCATTTCTGCTTTGCCAGATGGGTATACAGGCTCCAAATTTGTAGGGAGAAAAAAAACCCATCTCATCTAAAGTGATGTTTCTCCCTCCTTTTAACTTCACTTTCCCTCAGACATAAGAATGAAGACTGCCCAGGGATCTTACAAAGTTGGGCCCTAAGCCCAAGTGAACTTCAAAATAGGTGCGTCTGACCAAGCTCCTTGTGGAAAGAATGAACTAAAAACCAGTCCATGAATATCTTTTCATGACTGTTTTCTACTAAAGTGGCAAATACCTGGCCAGCATCTACTGCCACTCCCCATCAACCACTCACTCAACTAGAGCATTCAGTGGCTACAATTAATGAATATACAACTTCACACAGAGACTGAAGCATGAGTGGGCAGTTTCATCTGATAGCTGAGCCAATGAAAATGGAATTCTGACGCCCAAGTTCCAGCTGGGGTCTAGGATGTATTCGTCTGTTCTCCCATTGCCATAAAGGAATGCCTGAGGCTGGGTAACTTACAAGAAAAGAGGTTTAACTGACTCACGGTCAGTTCTACAGGCTGTACAGGAAGCCTGGCAGCAGCTGCTTGTGGAGAATCCTCAGGTAGCTTTTACTCATGGTGGAAGGCGATGCAGGAGCATGTATATTACATGGCGGGAGCAGGAGAACGTGACGGGGAAGGTGCTACATGCTTTTAAACAACCAGGTCTCGCAATAACTCCCTCACTATCCTAAGGACGGTTTCAAGAGGGGATGGTGTTAAACCATCCCCAAGAGCTCCACCCCCAGGATCCAATCACCTCCCAGGGGGCCCCACCTCCAACACTAGGGATTACAATTACACACGAGATTTGGTAGGGACACAGAATCCAAACCATTATGAGTGGAGTCTGATGGAGCCTTTAGACACAGAACCATAAGGTTCTCTTCCCAGCTTGGCTGCTAATGTCAGGGGTGACCAGGAACAAGTCCCTTAGCCCCTTTGAAAAGGCTTGGCTCGGCCGGATGCGGTGGCTCACACCTGTCTGAGCACTTTGGGAGGCCAAGGCAGGTGGATCACGCGGTCAGGAGATCGAGACCATCCTGGCCAACATGGTGAAATCCTGTCTCTACTAAAAATACAAAAATTAGTTGGGTGCGGTGGCGTGTGCCTATAATCCCAGCTACTCAGGAGGCTGAGGCAGGAGAATCGCTTGAACTAGGGAGTTAAAGGTTGCAGAGAGCCGAGATCGTGCCACTGCACTCCAGCGCTTGGCTTCCTCTGTATAAAATGAAAGCACTAAAACCTGCCCTCCTTACCTCACAAATGTTGGGAGGTTCAAATGCTGCCAAGCAGTTCACGAAGACAAGTTACCACTATTATTATTATTATTATTATTAAAGACGAAGTCTCGCTCTTGGCCCCCAGGCTGGACTGCAATGGCGTGATGTTGGCTCACAGCAACCTACACCTCCCGGGTTCAAGCGATTCTTCTGCCTCAGCCTCCTGAGTAGCTGGGATTACAGGCACGTGCTACCACACCTGGCTAATTTTTGTATTTTTAGTAGAGATGGAGTTTTACCGTGTTGGCCAGGCTGGTCTCAAACTCCTGACTTAAGGTGATCTGCCTGGCTCAGCCTCCCAAAGTGCTGGGACCACAGGCAACAGCCACGACACCCGGCCAAAGTGCTGGGACCACAGGCAACAGCCACGACACCCGGCCAAAGTGCTGGGACCACAGGCAACAGCCGCGACACCCGGCCAGGTTGTCCTTATTATTATTTACTGCTCCCTGGTTCTGCAACCTCGGCTGAATCAAAACTCCTCTCTTCACCTTTGCATAAAGAAAGACAGAGGACTGCCATATCTTAACTACAGAGAAGAATTGCAAAAGCGAATGAAGCAGCATCAGGAAATATCTTCTTCCCTCCAAGGCATGAAGTTGCTTTGTCAACTATTGCTATGTAATACAGACAGAAAGAAAATCAACCACATTACAACCTGCCTGCCAGTTCGTGCTATGCAAATCAGTCCCTTCTCGGTCAACAGAACTGAGATAAAATTTTACTGGACACAAAATACAGTAAAAATTTAACTTCCTTATTGCACCCACAATTAGCTTCTTGATGAGCTCTCAAATATTCACTAATGTAGGCCCCTGAAAGGATATATTAAAACAATAAAACTTTTTTTAAAACCCAAAACATAAAAAGAAATTAGAACTCCACTTCTGTGGAGTAATATAAATGGAATCCCTCCCCTGGCCCTGGCCGGCACTCCCTCCCCACCCTCTTCCTCTCCGTTCTTTCCACTCCACTGATACTCACCCAAGGTTCAGGTGTTTGAGCTTTTGAAGGCTGCTGATCTGTGTAGGCAGCTCCTCGATCTGGTTATTAAAAAAGTTGAGCACTTCCAAATTCTTCAGTTCTGCTATGTTCGGTGGCACTGCTATGGAAAAAAAATGCTGAGTGTGAATCTGGGACCGTAACTCCTAGCAAGGGATGTCAGCACGTTTTGTTTTCCTTTTTTCTTTCTTTTCTTTTTTTTGGGGGGGAGGGGCGCACAGAGTCTCACTCACTCTGTTACCCAGGCTGGAGTTCAGTGGCGTGATCTCAGCTCACTGCAGTCTCTGCCTCCAGGGTTCAAGCATTCTCCTGCCTCAGGCTCCCAAGCAGCTGGATTACAGGCGCCCGCCAATACCCCCAGCTAATTTTTTGTATTTTTAGTAGACACAGGGTTTCACCATGGTGTCCAGGCTGGTCTCGAACTCCTTACCTTATGATTCATCCACCTCAACCTCCCAAAGCGCTGGGATTACAGGCATGAGCCACCACGCCCAGCCTTTTTTTTTCTTTCAAAGCAAAGAAAGATGGAAACTCCAAAAGGACCATCAAATTCACCTATTGGTCTTATTTTTTTTAAGGTTTTTCATAAGCAGTCACTCACTTCTGAGTGGCCGCTGAAATGCTTCTTTAAATATGATTAGCTAAGTGCTTGGCATAGTTTGTTTCAGATGGACAATGAAGAGAGAAACACACCAGAAATGCACCAAAGAGAATTCCTGTACCATAGCAGCCTATAAAAGTGAACATTACAAAGCGTATATACTTATAGTTGTCATACAGAATCTTATCAGTGCTGTTGTTTTGATTTTTCCTTTTGGTTTTCTTGCATTATCACCAGAAGAAAGATGGCAACCTCCAAATTCCTTCCTGGGAGATGTACATTGAAGGTGTTTAAATAACCCAGTATCTGAAGAGCTGTCCTCTTAACATTACATTAGTAACAATATAAGCTCAATTTTAAGTGATGAAAAATTCCGCCTCCCTAGTTTCTGATTTTGGCCTCTGGAGTAACGTATCTTGATCAATACCAAACACACACATACAGATACACACACATACATACAAACAGACACACGCAAAGGTTACATCAGATTAGCAACAGATCGATACATTGCTATTATATAGAAATACAAAAAGTCAACTCGGTAGCATGCTATGAATACTAGTATGCAGATCAAAGCTGAAAATCAGCCACGGGGGACCTGAAAGGTTCCTCCTTCCCTAGCAGGTATATACTTGAAAAGACAAATGTAAAAGTCAAAGGCATCTTTATCTCAAAAGCACAAACTATAAATTGGCAGCAGGAGGACCTTCCATAGACTGTAATATATCTATCTCACTTGCTATTCACTCTTTCTACAAACATTCGTATGGGTGATACACTTAGCCATGGTTCATGTAAACTGATACCAAGACCACTCAGGTAACTAAAAACATGAACAGGGGCCTGGAGCCCAGCCCAAGAAAGCGTGATGTCTCTTATCAGTCAGGTTTACTTACCATCCCATCTGCTTCCTCCAGGGATGCCCAAGGAAGCCGGAAAACCAACCTGCCTGCCTGCAGTCAGACCTAAACTCAGATCCAGGAGCACTTGTGATCAGAACCACTACAAAGGTGTGTGTAAAATGCCAAACATACATCTAAAATATTTCAGCAGCCAGCCATTTCAAGAAGACCAACTGATAACTCCCAGGGGAACAAAAGTAAAGGGACAGGTGTATCGCTCATTAGAGTTTTGGGTCATCATTTGCAGCTTTCTGAAATGTCTAGGGCATTGCTGACCTGACTCCATCTGGAGGGACGGCTTGGCGAAAGGTAAAAGAAGTGCTTTCAGCCAGGCATGGTGGCTCATTTTCTTTGAAAGGCCTAGGGAGGCAGATCACCTGAGGTCAGGCGTTCAAAGCTAGCCTGGCCAACATGGTGAAACCCCGTCTCTACTAAAAATACAAAAATTTGCCAGGCACGGTGGTATGCATTTGTAATCCCAGTTATTTGGGAGACGGAGCCAGGATAATGCTTGAACCTGGGGGGTAGAAGTTGCAGTGAGCCAAGATTTCGCCATTGCACTTGACCTGGGAGACAGAGCGAGACTCCATCTCAAAAAAAAAAAAAGAAGAAGAAGAAGAAGAAAAGAAATGCTTTCACTGGAAGAATACGGATTACTCTGAACCTGGGCACATGGTCAGAGAGCAGTGGTCTCGTGAGCAGCCCTTGGATGAACTTCTGAAGCAGCTGCTGATAAAAGAACAGATTTTCACGTAATCTGGACAGCTGGAAGCTCCTCCACAACCCTCCTGGATACCTGCAGGAATGCAAATGAACCCCACCTGTACAATGTGGCTGCCAAATGCACATTCTTAGGTGCACAGCCCATGGAACACTTCTGTGCAAATGCATGGTATTCACCTTGCGTAAGTGATCACTAAGGAAATCACCGGGGCCTGCGCGGTGCCTCACGCCTGTAATCCCAGCATTTTGCAAGGCCCAAGTGGGTGGATTATCTGAGGTCAGGAGTTTGAGACCAGCCTGACCAGCATGGTGAACCCCAACTGTACTAGAAATACAAAAATTAGCCAGGCGTGGTGGCAGGACCTGTCATCCCAGCTACTTGGGACGCTAAAGCAGGAAAACCGTTCAAACCCAAAAGGCAGAGTTTGCAGTGAGCCAAGATCATGCCATTGCACTCTGGCCTGGGCAACAAGAGTAAAACTCTGTCTCAAAAAAAAAAAAAAAGAGAGAAAAGAAAAAATCACCAGGCTGTGCCTTCCGGGTCACAGTGGATGTCATCTTCCCTCCCAGATCGTAAAGTATGTACAGTGCCGCTGCCCACAGACATCCCTCCCCTGGCCACCCTCCAGCTACCACTAAGCATTCATCTGATTAGTTCGAAGAGCAATAAGGAAAGTTAGTGAAACCAGGAGAAAATGATGATCTCAATTTAGCCACAAACCAAGAATAATGCAGCCAGAATCACTGCCTTCTTCCCGAAGTTACTCTGCCAATGCAATTAAATGCGGGTCTAAAGGTATCGCCCTTTTGACAGGATGAGAGATTATTTCACTCTCCTTGCTAAATCAGTCCAATTTAAAACTACCAATTATGCTAAATGTGATTTAGGGCTTTGTTTTGTGGACCCAAACAATAACCTCATATTCAATTTACAAAACCTCTCCCAGCCTTTTGGTAAGCATGTGAATTTTTTGTTTAAGACTCCATTCAAGCTAGATGACCCAAAAAAAAAAAAAATTACACAGCTAATATTCTCCCTAAATATACAGAATTTTTTGAAACCCCCTACCAAAGTTTAAAAAAAAAAATGTGAAGAAATTAACACACAGACCCATCTGGATAGGATGGTATTCACTCTCTGAACCAGTATTTAGAGAATGCTGATAAAGTGCACAACGCCACATTTTTTTTTTTTTAGATGGAGTCTTGCTCTGTCGCCCAGGGTGGAGTGCGGCATGATCTAGGCTCACTGCAACCTCCACCTCCCAATTGTTCAAGCAATTCTCTTGGCTCAGCCTCCCCAGTAGCTGGGACTACAGGTGCACGCCGCCATGCCCGGCTAATTTTTTGTGTTTTTTTTAGTAGAGACGGGGTTTCACCATGTTGCCCAGGCTGATTGCGAACTCCTGAGCTCAGGCAATCCGCCTGCCTCGATCTCCCAAACTGTTGGGATTACAGGTGTGAGCTAACACGCCCGGCCAGCGCTGTGCTTTCCACACATCTCAATGCTTTGGGGATAAAGTAGGAGAGGCATGTTATTTAAAGAAAGTAAGTTACAAAAGACAGGGTATCAAAGTCAATACACTGAACCAGGCGCAGTGCTTGGAAAACAAACTACTCCCAACCAAACTGCCTGGAAAAAATAACCAGTTAGCAATATGAATTGTGCAATGACCCAATCACATACATACATGGCGGGAACAATTTTAGCTATTCCAAAAAGGCCACTGCAATATTTTACCAGTCAAAACATTTGACTGGAATTTTCCAGGTATTTATAGGATGCATGAGCAAGAAGCATTTTAAAGCCTAACAGTACATGTCAGTACATTTACCATGACTTTGAAACGTTCCTTTTTCACCAGTCTGTACAGCTTCTGACCTATGACCCCAGCTGACCTATGACACCAAAGAAACTGAAGAGCAACGTGGTCCCTGACACTACAATGCTGTCTGTGCCCTACTCAACTCATAACCTCTCAAGGCCTCTGTAAAATGAGAGGGCTGGATTATGACCATTTCCAAGGTCTCTTTCACCTCATTTTAACATTCTAGGATTCTAAGAGGAGATGGATTATGAAAATCAATGATATGGCTTTAAATAATTCAATAAATGAGGCCCTCAATTAGGAAGCTTAGTCATGTAGAACTTTGCTTCTGACAAAGAATTATCATTTTCTGCCTAGCCAAAGGTGGTTGCTTTAACTTTGAGACTTCAAGTGCTAGGTTTAGGGGAACGGTCCCCAAAGGACTCAGATATTCCCTGGCTCCTCAATGTCACATTTTGCTCTAGCTGCAGGATCATAGGACTGCTGGTGTTCTGGAAAGGTGCCATCACTCCAGAGACTAATCTCAAAGTTTCTTCTGGGGTTTGTAGCAGTTCCACCAAACACACCCGGCATGACCTTTTTCCCTTCAAGTCCTCCTAAACCGAATAACCTGAATGCTGCTCAAGAGTTCTGTCCATCTGATGTGTCAGCCCAGACTTGGCAACTCAGTAACCCTGTCTCCCCTAGCAGTTTCTAGAAGGTTCCACAAGAAGCCCAAAGTGGCTAAAGGGCTCATTAACTTCTCTTTCGCCAGAAGCACCTCCACTTTACAGGCTGGAGAAACCAGAGTCCATCTGCGTGAAACACTGATGCAGCCCCTTCCTGAGCAACAGCTTTCCTCCTAAAAGGACATACAGCTATGGCCATCAATAACTGCAACAGGCGTGAGCAGCCAGCACTGCACAGCTGATTCGCATTCACAAAATGCACAATCAGTCGACTCAAGAATACACTGCCCCCAACTGGCCAGCAGCCAGCAAACTGTCTCCCCCTCACACACAAAGAATCAAAACCAACCACTGTTATAACAATTGCAGTTTCAATT